AAAAAAAAAAAAAACATTTTACTTTTATACTTAAGTACAATGGAGAACCTCTACTTTTTTACTTTTACTTGAGTAAAGGAGATCAATAGGTATTTCCTTTTTTTTACACATTTATCTGTATTGCTACTGAAGTAAAGGTCAGTACCTTTGACACCTCTGAAATTGAAGTGAATTGCTACCTTTGATGAATACAGATCCAGTTGCTTAATTTTTAAAAAGTTATAGATGTGATAATGACTGTTGCAGGTTCAATGTTTATCATTATTGCCATATCAGAACTGATAGAAACTCCAGTGAAAGAATATTGGATGCAAGAAACAAAGAGTTAAGAACTATTGAGGAAAGCGTCTCTCTGACATAAATAGTTGTTGCACGTGATAATGAAATTTAAACTGCTCATCTTCTAACTTATTTTTACATTTGCCCACATAGCTTTGATTGGAGTGAATGTTATCGGTATCTATTACTTGGTAAGGGTCATTATTATGCCAAAATATCAAGTCTGTTAGTGTGAAATAAAATGCCTTCCAATTAAAAAAAGCAAAAAAAAAAGCAAAACCAAAGTTATTCTACTTGCTCTCTTTTTCCAATTACCTAGTTAAATTGAAACTGGGGTAAAAACTATGTCCATTTTTTTTAATGAAAACCTAATAAGTGATTTGTTAATTAAGAGTTCCCCTTATTTTTTAGACCGGCCGATTTAGAGAATCTAGGAACTTTTTAAATAAACTGTTTCATCTATTTTAAAAAAGATCAGCTCATTCTCTGATGAATTAGACCCAGCTGTATTGAATGAAACATTAAAAGGGGCCATGCTACCTTGCTTAAATGCATAAACAATAAACAATCAAGAAATATTATATTTATCTTTCATGTCTTTTGCTTCTCTTTGCAGGATTAAAACAATGGCTGAGTCCATCATCAAATCAAGACAAGCACAAAAAGAAGTCAACGGAAATCTAACAGAAGTCATCTGCACAGATTTTAGTAATTACATATTTGTGGTCCTCACCCAGTATGGCAAAATTGGGACATTGATTTCGGTCACACCTGACTCGCGATCTAATGATATCAGCACCCCCACGTTCTCCACCAAAGTGCTGCTGGGCAAAGATGAGGTACGCTGAGTGAAATTTGTTGGATTAATATTGTATCCGTGTGATTATAGACTTCTTGTCACATGGGGTTACTCATTTCACGCAGTGAAAGGCCAGATGAGATCGGCTCTGAACTACTCTGGCAGGTTGTAGGGAAATTAGATGCACAGAGTTCAGCAGCGTTTTAAAGTTTACTCAAGAAAACTAATTTCATCTCTGCTTGAGCTTGTCATTTTAACAGGGACACTGTGAGCAAGGGCCGTCAACTGGAAAGATAGACTGTAACAAAGTTTGTATTTTATTTAAAAAGAAAACTTTCTTGAAAAGAAGACAGATAATTCTCCCTTTTAATCTTTTACATTTCAAAGTCTTCTAGCTCAGATCTACTCTGTATACCCAGAACCAAACATGGAGAAACAGCTTTAAGTTCCTTTGCTTGATTAATCTGAAATAAACTCCAAAAAAACTGTAAAAGAGCTGAAACCCTAAATTGCTTAAATTGGAATTTAAAACGTACCTTTGACTTTGCTATGTAAACATTATTAGTTAAGTTTGAAGTCCAGCTTTCATTTAACATTCCTTCATAATTATTAATATTTTTCCTAATTGAATAATTTAAATATTCATTTCTATTCTCTAATTATTAGCATTTATTAATTATTCTCTCTTCATGCCACTGCAGTGTGCTTTTCTTCAGCACTTGAAATCACCTTGCTACTGAAATGTTGCCTTTTGAATAAACGTCTTCCTGTCAGCATTTCAGTGAAGCATGAATGGTTTAATAAAAACAGTGAAGTTAAATTGTGGCTGAACAGTGAGATGTTAGAACTCTGCCTACATTAGAACAGCTTAAGAATGCATGTTTTTTGTTGACATTATGAATATTATTAATTATTCCATATTGTTGAAGGCTGAATAGATTTACCTCGTTTTTTTTTATAAAGATCAGAGCGTTTGATGATTATTCCTTTGTAGAAAAAAAGAAATATATCTTTCAAAAATGCTGTTTTTTTGCATTTGTCAGTTGATTCTTTATTTCTACATTTTGTGTAGTGTCATCTTTTAAAACCTAATTTGTGTTTTTCCTCTTTTTTAACAGCCTTTGACTCATGTCTGTGCCAAAAACCTGGCTACGTTTGTATCACAAGAAGCTGGAAACAGACCTGTCCTGCTGGGACTGGCCCTGAAGGATTCTTCTATTGACACAATTAAAGAAATCAAAGAGATCGTCAAAGGTTGTAAAGTGTGGTAGTTGGTAAGGGCCCTGGAAAAATGACATTAGTTAAAAATACTTAGTAAAATGTAAAAAAAAAAAAAAAAGACTTAGTAAAATAAAGGCAATAGCTCCTACCAGTGTCACGTTTTGTAAAAATACATTAACTATTACTTTATTGTATTTCAAAATTCATTCAACAAAATTTGTGTTATTTGAATTGTTCGTAAATAAAATTCTTTAACTGACTTTTCATTTCAATGACTTTTTTGTCGCTCTGTTTAACTGGTTGTAATGAAAGGTTCTTTATGTACACAGACTACACATTGCTTTTTTTTTTTTTTTTTGTAGCTCTTTCATCACACAAACACAATTAACCTTAACCTCCCAAATCATTCTGCTTATTTTGGTTGTATGAATGTCACCAGTTGTTGTTCAGCATGGTGGCCAATTTCTTGACAAACCTATAAATATTAAGATGCTCCTAAAAACTGATTAACTTACAGAAAAGTCAAATTTGGTTTAATTTAAAATTTTTAATTCATTTATTATAAACAAATTCTTAAGCACTCTAAATAAAGCTAGAAATGTCCCCTTTATTAGCATAAGAAGGTGCTACTAAGATAATATGGATGTATTCTAAGGCTCATAAGGGGTGCCAGTAAATATGTCTGCTTACTGTGTAGTCAAATTATCTTTTTACATAAGTAAATTGGACAAATTAGATTGATGTTGCAAGTTTATATCATTCAAATTAAAGCTGTTCAGCTTTTCAACTACAGCTAATCCCAAATATTCACACTTCTGGCAACTTTAGATTTTTCATATTTTAATTGAACTGATATGATTTGAGGCAGTATTATCATTTTGGATTGATGTAACCATGGTTTCACTTTTAACTGAACTCAGTTTGGACAGCTAGAGATTTAGGATGATCGGATGGAGATAATCTACCTTCCAATACTTGGAGGTTATTTTCAGGTTAAATCAGAAATGGCATTTAAAAGTTGATCAATATTTAAAAGAATAGTTTGATGAATGTCATGACAATAAAATTGTATAAGTGTATGAACAGTTTTTGGTGTCTAAACAATTTTTGGCATGAGCATTAAATAAAAGAAAAAGCATAATAGAGAAAGTTTACATTTGTACATTGTATTATTTTTCACATGGTGCAAACCCGTGCAATTTCCTACTCAAAACAAACTTCTTGGTAAGGGATTGCATTCTTGATTCTAGATCAACCTGGGGACAGGCTGATCTAGAATCAAAGAATATCAGTACGTCAGCGTTATCAGTCAGAAATAGATTTCCTCCAAAGAATCAAACATGTAGGTATAAATATGCTGCTCAAGTAGATTGCTTATCATAAGATACAAATTAATTTGTTCAAATTGATGTAATCACAGGCAAAAATTAATGACATATTACATATTAGGCCGTAGGTCTTCAACAGGGTGTCAACAGAGGTACTGCATGGGGGTTATGAAGGTTTTTGTTGATTATATTATTATTATTTATTTATTTTTTTATATTCCTCCCTACAGTTTTTCCCACTAATTGAAATGTCTTTAAATACACATTAGCATAAATTCAAGACACTGTAGTAAACAAATAAATTGAGGCATCAATGCACACATTCACCGACACACAGGAGCTCTTTCAAGCTGGGAACTGTTTCATTCACATCTGTCCCATCAACCAGGAATCTAAATTAGAAATACTTTAATATTCCCAGGACGAAATTACTTTAGTTACATGACTCCATCTGTAATAGAGTGACTATAGGACCAGTTTGATATAACACAATTTAATACAATATATATTTTAATACGGTGTCCCCGCTCCATCCGGCCATCAGTTTGATTCGGTAACAGAGAAACATCAACTAAGGCAGAGTGGCGGCCTAGTGTTTAG